CCTTTATTTGAGATCAGAAAGGCCAGTTACCTTTTCTGAATGGTTTTATTAAAGTGATTTCTATTGCAATCAGTTATTCATTATGCATTTCTTTGTTATGTGTACACACAAAGCCATCAGACCAAATCAGCAGATTAGATTAGATATTAAAATAGGTTAAAAGTGATCATCTCTGGCTAACTTGCCCTACTTCTATAGTGAACTGGGTATGTATTTACACATTTTCTTCACTTCAGAATTAGATACAAATGCATCTCATCCGTTGAGCTTGCATACCTCACTCTCCCAGCCTGGCCTCTGATTTCTACAACAGAAGTTAAGAAATTAGTGGTACAGGCTAAAGCATACAAAGCAGTGGGATGCAATTATAACTCCATTGCACTTTAAAAAAAAACAACTAATATTGATTTCTGGGCATCAATTTTAGCAGTCCTTTTTCCTGCCACCGATTCTTCTCTAGTAATCTCAAAACACTGGTCTTTGTCAATTATTGTTCCTTTTAAAAGAGAAAAAAAGCTCTTGCACAGACCCTGAAAATTATCAACTCACTCATCTCCTAGGCAGAATCAGCAAACCATATTCAAGACATCCTGATTTAAAACTTTTAAGAATTTAAGGTGTAGAATAACATATTCTTATTGTTTGAAAGATTGCAATATTACATATTTTTACTAATCTAAAATAAAGGTTGACTATGTCCATGAGTTTAGAACAATTTCCAAATATTTCCAAGGCAATTTGCAGTGAAAAAAGCAACAACTGAGACAAATAAAGTCAATGGGAAACCAGATTCCCTTAACAACTGTATTACTAACTTAACAACTGCAGTGATTCACTTAACAACAGTGGCCAGAAAAAAAAATCATCAAATGGGGCAAAACTCACTTAACAATTGTCTTGCTTAGCAACAGAAATTTTGGACTGAATTATGGTTGTAAGTTGAGTACTACTTGTATACTATCCCCTTTATCTTCCTGACTTCCTATTTTTTAAAAAAAAGATAGATTAAAAATAAAAGATCTATACAATCTGAAGAGAATCTGCTATAGACATAATGCAAAGTTTCAACTTTTCAATAATAAATTTCCAGTTATAAAGGAAACAAGAATTGCCACTGTGTTATAAGAATATACAATATCATGCCATTAGGACATAAGGGTTTTTTCAGAAGAAAATTATACCACTTGAGATTTTTTTTTTTAAAAAAAACTTCCTTAAAGTTATTTTTAATTACAATAATTAGCAACAGTTAATATACCAGAAGGAACTGACTACAGAAGAAGGAATGCTACTTCCAGCTTTTTTCCTTGATTAATAAATATTAAAATTAATGAGAGACTTTCAAGACCCTATTGTTAAGAAATGTGTAAAGATTCCTGTGAAAGAATTTGTATAGGAGTAAAATGGTACACAAGCTGCTACAATTATTCTGAATGCTTTACTCTTTTCAGCCAATTATGAAAATTGTGAAAAGTATTAATATCTAATTTTAATTTGCACTGTAGTGCCATTAACAATAAAAAAAGTTTAATTAAGGTATGTATATGAAAAAAAAAAAAGAAAGGGGGAAAACTTGGCTGCAATTTTAGAGAATAATAGGAAACAACTAGATAGTTCTTCTTTAAATGCAGGTTGCTTTATTAATTGATATCTTAATTAGACTTTAGTACTAATATCAAATCGTAGTTGGAAACACCTAAATTTTTAAACATATAGTATTGTCAAATGGAAGCACAAAGAGAAATAAATTATTCTAAGTAGTTTTATTTAAAACTTGTAATTCATGAAAAGGAAGATGAGAGACAATGTAATAGATTTAATGGTAGTAGCCATCCTGTACTTGTTTTATTTAATTTCTTAATTTCCAGGCATTTAAGAAAATGTTTTGAACTACAGGACAAAGTACTCCAGTCTACCAAAGAACTATGCTAGCTCATTTCTGGACTATTAAGAAACATTGGAAGTCAAAGGTGATCATGGTCCATTGAATGGTATGGCTATTATTCATTACTCATAACTTACATATTCATTTTACTTTCACGCTTGTCTCAGGTCAAATACATTTTACAGGCGTTTAAAGCACTGTAAAACTTGCAAATTCTCTTTTGATAGCACAAGGGGCAAAAGATCATGATGGTCCTATTATGATATTACTGCTTCTTCAGCAGAGGTCTTTTGAAGAGAACTCATTTCTTAAATATACATCTATTAAATATACATATATACTCTTTCAAAGACAGCAAACTCCGCATTTTGGAAGAAGTCTGCTGGTTTGAAAGTATGGCCAAAGAGGCCATCTAGGTCAAAATTGAACAACCCTCTCTCAACAGAGGGGGAGGGATACAACATAATCTATCTCCAGTCTACAACACAGTCCTTTCAGCAGTTCCAAGAAGGAACACCCATTTGCACCCGGATGACACAGACAATCCTCCAGGTGGCCTCCATGATTCACTAAAGGAATGCAAATGACCAGCTGTCTGCAAGGAGTATAAATCCTTTCATTCCCCACCATCCAGTCAGAGCTGAAGAAGCTTCTTGGATGAGAAGTGAAATGGCTTCAAAGAAAGCCAAGAAAGTCCAGTTGCCTCGTGAAAAACTATCCAGGACAACTATGACCTGGGTGACTGAGAATCTCCATAGACATTGAGACATGACCTTATTTTATTTAAAATGTAGACTGTTTAATAAGGTGACCAGAAATATTTCTGTTCTAAAACTACCCCAAAACAATACTATTCAAAAACACCTAAGTTAGGCTACCAGTACACACTAAAGAATTCTTTTTTCCAGAAATTTAAAAAATGGATACAAATTATCCAATATTATCATATTAGGAAGTTTAAAATCATCATAATCAGCAGCAATCTCATCACTGCTATAATTAGACTATCTGGCCTTGTGCCCTAGTATTGTACAACCTACCCACCAATCTCTTCTCAATATTTAGGGAGGAGGAGGAACTGTTGAGGAATATTGTAATAGAACTATTATAATATGATGTTCAAGAGGCTACTTGTTTAAGTAAATTACAAATAATACGCTAAAAATTTCATCCATGCAGGAAAGCAATGCCTAAGCAACTACGAAGCCCTAAGCGGTTCCCTATGTAACATTCTCCAAGCATGACCAACTGCAGAAAATCCAGCACTATTTTCACTGCCATCAGATGCCAAGGCTGCCAAGCATAAGGATAACCAAAGCATCCTGGTATATTATTTGCAACAATATATGTAGAAGAATGCTGAATAGAACAGGTGGTTGAAGACCGTAAACTTTAACAGATCACAATCAGACATTAATCCTAACCTTCTGACTATCAAAGAAGTTATCAGGTATAGAATCATAGGGCTAAAAGGGACCTTGGTAATCCAACCCACCACCCAAGGCAGGAATCCTTATTCCATCCCAGACAATGGTTATCCAATCTTTTCTTAAAAACATCCAGCGATGTAGATGGGACAAATCTACTCACTCTGTTCTTTAGGCTAAATTTCTATGATACATCCTTAGTGTCTCTGTCCAGGTTATAGTTCTAGATAGCCAAAGGTTTCTCACTGGCTGATCTGGCACTTAGCAAACCCATTCGTTTCCAGGGCCTGAGCTAACAGGAGGGGAAGGAGGGGAAGACAGACTCATCCTTATTTAACATAATCCATTTGTTTCTGCCCTTATTCCTTTTACCCATAGCAATGACTGATTTCTCCCATATGGCAGGGCTAACATGATAGTCCTCAAAACTACTCTTTTCCAATGACAGTTGTGAGAAATTGAAAGTGGCTTTTTTTTTTCAGATACACCAAGCATCAAGACAGCAGCACAGAAATCCTCAAAGTCTGTTTCTTCAAGTGCTAAAGCACAGTAGGAATATGTAGAATATAAACACTCAGCTGCCATTACAAGCAAGGACCGAAAATGAAAGTCAGAATTCTATTGTACAAAGGTAGAACACATGGTACTTCATTTAAACCAGGAGGAATCCTAACTGCTCAGAGGCATCAAATGTTTTATAATAATAATAATAATAATGATAAAGTTGGAATGGACCTTGGAGGTCATCTAGTCCAACCCCCTGCTCAGGCAGGAAACCCTATACCATTTCGGACAAATGGCTATCCAGTTTCTTCTTAAAAACGTCCATGTTGGCGCATTCACTGGTTCTGGAGGTAGGTTGTTCCACTGGTTAATTATTCTAACTGTCAGGAAGTTTCTCCTTAGTTCTAGTTTGCTTCTCTCCTTGATTAGTTTCCACCCGTTGCTTCTTGTCCTGCCTTCAGGGGCTTTGGAGAATAGCTTGACTGCCTTTCTTTGGGGCAGCCCCTGAGATACTGGAACACTGCTATCATGTCCCTGCTCGTCCTTCTCTTCGTTACACTAGACATACCCAATTCCAGCAACCATTCCTTATATGTTTTAGCCTCCAGTCCCCTGATCATCTTTGTTGCTCTTCTCTGTACTCTTTCTAGAGTCTCAACATCTTTTTTATATCGTGGTGACCAAAACTGGATGCAGGATTCCAAGTGTGGCTTTACCAAGGCATTGTAAAGTGGTATTAACACTTCACATGCTCTTGATTCTATCCCTCTGTTAATGCAGCCCAGCACTGTGTTGGCTTTTTTGGCAGCTGCAGCACACGACTGGCTCACATTTAAATGATTGTCCACTAGGACTCTGAGATCCCTCTCACAGTTACTACTATTGAGCAAGGTACCCCTATACTATACCTGTATGTTTGGTTTTTCTTGTCTAAATGTAGAACCTTACTTTTTTCACCTTTGAATTTTATTTTGTTAGATAGCGCCCAGTGTTCAAGTCAACACTTTTGAGTTACAGTAATAATTTAATCAAGCTGTGTCTGACAAGAAAAGCCTGACACTTTGAACCAAAAGAATCACTCATGTGAGAAGGATTAAAATAAGAAGTAGAAAACAGCCATTAAATCTCACAAAATATGTAATAAACATATCAAGAAAGAAATATCAAATATTCATGGTACTCACACTGATGTCAGTCACAGCCCAATGTCTCCAGAAGCGATACTTTGGATTAGATCTGCTAGGAGCATCTGGATCAACCATGATGAGAACATAATTCTTATTCTGTAAAATATATTTGAAAATCAGTCTTAAAAATTTTGTTATTTAGCAAATTAAAAAGGGAACATTCTAAACAAAACACCTATAATCCATCTAGACAAGGGGGGACATGATAGCAGTATTCCAATATCTCAGGGGCTGCCATAAAGAAGAGGGAATTAAGCTATTTTCCAAAGCACCTGAAGGCAGGACAAGAAGCAACGGGTGGAAACTAATCAAGGAGAGAAGCAACCTAGAACTAAGGAGAAACTTCCTGACAGTGAGAACAATTAATCAGTGGAACAGCTTGCCTCCAGAAGCAGTAAATGCTCCAACACTGGAAGTTTTTAAGAAGAGACTGGACAGCCATTTGTCCGAAATGGTGTAGGGTTTCCTGCCTGAGCAGGGGGTTGGACTAGATGACCTCCAAGGTCCCTTCCAACTTTACTATTATTATTATTATTATTATTATTAGTCATCTATGACAACAGACCTTCAGCTCTTTTTCTGTAGGAGTAGCAATTTACAAAAAGACAATTCTCACAGAACCAAAGATATAGATATTTCTTGCTGTTGATACATATAGTTTCTAAATTCAAACTATCTCACAGATAAGAAAGAAAATTAGTATTTGGAACTACAGGAGATTTTGGTCATTCTGATTTGATGATCTGTGCTTTGAATTGTAATGAGAAGTGAACTTGCTTCAACATTGGTGACATTTTGATCCATAACGCTTGTCCCAGTAGAAACCAGAATTAATTCTTCATGTCAATCTTATTCAGAGTGGGTCCCATGAAATGTGCTCTGTTAGTGACATAAAAGTATAGGGTGGAATGTAGAGTAGATGTTCAACTTTAAAAAACATCATGATAATAATGAATCATGAATAATCATGATAATCAGAATGCAACTGGCAACCACTAAGGCTGTTTCAACTTCAAAGTTATACGAGACCTTCAAGAGACCTCACTTACCTCTTATTGTCAGGATAGCTTGTAAAGAGATTTTTGATAAGGAGGATGTAATCATAGTCATTTGTCTAGGAAGTGTCAGAGATAAACATGTCTTCAGAAGCAGAAATAGCAGAAGTCAGAGAACAGTTAAGAATCTCCACTTAATAGTCCAAGGGAAAAAAAATTCTCATATTGCAAGGTTAGAATAATGAGCAAATAAGGCTCAGAGGTGACAGGAGGAGAATTGTCCTGGCTGATTAATCAAACAACATCTGGGATGAGACACTCAGCCTGGCAGACTGAAGCAAGCTGGCTATTCATGATGGTGTTTATGTCCTTCTCTGCTTCTTGTATCCTATGACTCCTGAAATATGTGCTTTAACTTTAGATCATTCTGCAATTTCATCTATTCATTTGCTTGATTAATTTGCTCAAGGAACCTGGGTATGACTCAGAATGACTGGCCATTCTATTTTGTGATCTACTTTTCTTCTGCAAACTCTCTCCTTAAGCTTCCTCAGCTTCACTCTTCAGATAGAAATATATAGTTATAATGCAAGATGGATTCTGTTCTAGATATAACTTTTGGATTATTTTAAAGGCTCATTCCTTGAAAGATGTATTAACATAATCCAATCCGTCAGGAAGAGATGCATCTTATCAGCCAACTCTGATGAAATGTCTAGTTAGCATCAGATATCAAGTCCCAAATTCCGTGACCCGGAACAACTCACATAACATTCATCGCTGACATTCCTGGGGTTAATAACCACTCTGTTTTTTGCTGTCAAAATTTGCTTTCTGATATTTAGTCCCTTGTAGTCTAGAGACACTCAGGCTGGTAGGAAAAAAATGAACCCAAGTATAATCAGAATATTGATAATCAGCTCCAGTCCCTTGGAGCTGCTACACATCTTTGACATCATGGACATGATCCTATGACATCGCCTAAGGATCCATTTTTCTTCATATGATATTCACCATTTACATGAAGTTGCCAAAAAAATTTCATTAAAAAAATTTAAACTGTTATCAGTCTCTACACGATACAAGGTTATATATTTCACTCCCAGCTGCACTAGTTACCAATTTGCTTTCAGATATAATTCAAAGTCTGGTGGAGTTCTTCAAATTCTAAACTGCTTGGGATCAGAGGACTACCTAGACTCACATGACTCTTCCCAGGTTGAAGTCAGGTTAATACCAATATAAAAGTGGGTATTTCCAATGGCCAATCCAATTTCACAGACTTCTATACTGCCTGATAATCACCCAATCTCAGCTGTTTGCATTTTTAGGGCTAAAGTGAGGACTTGGATTTTTTTCTGGCTTTTTAAGTTTGTTTCTCACTTTTTGTTGATGTTTCAAATGAATACATTTTAGACGTACATTGTGTTTAAATGCTGATTGTATTTTAATTTTAATTAAATTGCTAGCCAAATGTTTTGAAATAAAGAAGTGGATAAAAATTTATTTTTTAATCCAAACTAAGTTTCTTCCCTCTTTAAAGAATGCTACTTAACTCAATGGGCCTAATCCTAATTAATAAGCTTGTGGATATTAGGCATTTCATTCTTATTCACCAAGTGCTAAAATATATGTGGGATGGAAATGCTAACTCTAATTTAGACAATCAGTAAGAAGCAAAAACATGACATCCAACTGTCTAAAAATTCTAGGTTTAATAGCAACTGCTGTACCAAATATTTCATCTTAGTTGCCAATGAATAAAACAGTTTTTAGAGAGTCTTAACAAGTTTATACATGGTTTCTACACTATACAGTTAACACAGACATGAATAAATTGTTAGTCGACATTTATATAATATATAAGAAGTGAAGTGATAACTCCCAACAACAACAAAAAGTTATTTTAAAAGCATTTCCTGTACAATAGGTTATTTACAGAAATCCTTATTTATAACAATTTTTCATTCTTTTAATGCTGTCTAGAACTAATTTACAATGGATGGCCCATAGTAGAAGACTGATCTCCATAAGAATTAAATGAGTAATGAGAGAGAAGGAGAATTACAAAACCAGGGTTTTATGTCTTCCCCACTTTAATTCATTCCATTGGCTCAGAACAACTTTCAGGTAAACATTTCATTCACCTAATATTAATGCTGTTAAATAAAATGTGAGGTAAAATACAGTAACATTTAGACATGAATATTTACTTTTCTAAGGAATTTGCCATTTCTGGCTTGGTTTAATATTGGCTTTTTGCCAGTGCACAAAGTATGTGATTTTCACCATTCATCACGGGAGGAGGTTAAAATAAAATACACGCTTCAAGTGAGAAACACAGATTGCACAGATGACCAGGATACTTAATATTACACCTTTTGAATTATAAAGGTTGAAACAATTTACACTATTTTTGAACTATCTTTGTTTTAAGCTAGTGTGTATGTCTATTTCTTTTCTATTTCCTTCTTTGCATCCATTTTAAGTGTTTTCTTAAATTATATTAAGGCGTCCTTCATCCATTAAGATTGTATTGTTTAAAAATACATTTAAACAAAACAAATCATACAAAAGTAAAATTTTCAGTTGTTTTCAATTTCCAATAACTAACTAGGAAAAAAAGAAAGTCATTGCAGATGATTAAATGAAATTGAAAAAGATAAATCCCATCCCAGGAAATGCCAAAACTGTTAACACCTTAATGAAAATCTATGGTATATTTGAATCTGGAAGTGTATGTACAGTTCCAGTAGCCATACTCTGCTCATGGACAGATAATTGGTCAGAGTCTCCAGCTTATTTACTTTCTTTCTTTCCAACATAATGTTCTTTTAGTAAGAATAAATAAGCATGAAGAGTACGGATTCTGGAATTCTTTCCTATCCCTTTATTGGCAGCATGTATAGGAGGTGTCTGCTTTTTTGGGTGTGTTAACAAAATAACAAATTATCCTTCCCTATATAGGTAATCCTTGTCTTACGACAGCTCGCTTAGTGACGTTCAAACTTACAAAGGTATTTTAAAAAGGGACTTATCATTTTTCATGCTTACAACTGTTGCATAGCCCCATGATCACATGATCAAAATAATTCTGTTGCAATCAGAAATGAAGTGTTCTACTAAAACTGATCTTGGTTTAATTAGTTATATGTTATCAGTTTGACTCAACTTGAAGCCTCAACCACCACTACTCTAGGATCTATTTGCCTTCAGAGCTTTGTTCCAATAACTCATCATCAGACAGCCTAATTTTTAGTAAGAATATGTATTGATAGAAGAATTGTGCTGCAAGTCCCTAAATGTAGAAATCTAGTCCCTGGCTACAGTTAACAGTGGGGCATTTTCCTATCAGTTCAAGCTTCTACTTTCCTCATGCTCATATGAGCTACCTCCAATTCCATGTGGATTTTTCCATAAAAAGGAGTGTGATAGTAGAGCTCCATCACTGATATTACAGAAGCACAGTCATTCAGCTCAACACTATGTTTCTTGTACTCCCCTTACTAACCCATGCTTTCTCCACTACATTCATGCCTAGTTTCTGTCCTGCCAACCATGATGAAATTTTTAACACCTCACCTTAAATACGAAAATATTTTGAAATGACCATGTGGTTCTTTTATTTGGGAGGTGGGGGAACAAACTGAGACCAGAAAGTGTGGAATTTGATTTCTAACTTAGGTGGGTTCTTGGTTTTGCTATGGTTATGAATCTCTCACTTTTGTGTTAGTGCCCAGCTGGTGAGAACAGAACGTGTAGTCATGGGACTGTCATCGTGTGCTGTCCAGGTTAACATGTAGCATTTCTATTACTATTAACAGACTTTCTGCTCCTCACTCCATCTGTTCTTCTAAATAATTGCAGTTGTACAGACCATGTCTTCACTGCAGGCAGACTCTGGGGAGAGGATAGTGCTTTTATGCACAAAAAAAGTGTTAAAAAATAACAGCAACACGAGAATAAAGCACTAGTGAAGCTAACAGCAGGCTTGAATTTCAGTACAGATTGCAGTCTACAACAGCATTATTACACAGTTTCAGGGTGGTCAAATGAGACCTTAAATTAAAGCAAACAGGGCTTGGCAACCTTGTGACAATT